GCCCCCCCCCCCCCCCCCATCACAGTGTCGGATTCGCAGTCTTTGGAAAGATGATTTGGAATGAGTATAGAGATATATCAGAGAAGGATTGTGGAGTATTCAGTGGTAATACTCATGCCAAGATTCAAAAGGTTACAAAGTTGTCGGCTGTGGCAATTGTCGTGGCATTCTGTACAGTTGGTATTCTGGTCTGGACATTTGGTGTCAGTGTATGGAACATAAACAATGTGATTGCATTCATTGTTGTAGGACGTGGAATCGAGGTCACATGGATCACGTCTATGCTTCTGGTGCTCTCGCCATCCTTGCAGACATGGGGTGCTGGCAACAGTTCAAACAAGATGGCAACACATGGTGCAACCAGCTTCGATGGTCTCTCCGATGACTGCGACTCATCTTCATCAGAAGGTGATGATGTTGAAGCAGGTGCAGGTGTAAACAAAAAGGACAACTCTACAGTATCATCACCAACACCAGGTGCAGGTATAGGTACAGTTGGTGTACAAAGCACAACAGTCAATGATGTTAACAATGATCAAGAACAAAACAACGACAACAATGACAACATCAACAACAACAACAGCAGTAGTCAACACGGTGATATGCAAGCTTAAGAACAATCATTCATTCATCACAATTGTACTGTATTATGTAGTCAAGTAAACCAAACGAAGCTTCGTAGCTCTAAATACTCCTTTCTTTGTTTGTGAAGTAGAGCTCGCTGTATTTGAATGATTGATTGATCATCTGGTTCTTAATAACTAGAATGTAATAATACAAGTGAATGGTAATTGATGATATTACCCTGACCCTTGATCATCAGTGTTAATGTGAGGTGTTGGCCATTGCCAATGAGTGTCTGTTCGCAAAGTTGTGAGAATCCCGCATGCTATAGGAGGCTCGTATTCATCCACGTTCTTGCAAAGCCAAGAACTCAAACGACCCCATGACACCCCAATCCCAGCTCATAACTATCTATTTATAAAAGTGAAATGAATCGAAGTGAAACAAATCAAACACTCGATTTTTCATTCATTCAACAAACAACAAGAAAAGTTCCAACCGATTAGTTATTTACCTCTTTGGATATTTGTAAAAGTATGAGAAGATAGAGATGTGCGTGGGCTTTGGCCCCTCTGGTCCACGGTGACTAACTGACAATGTGTGTGTGGTGGTCCACGCTTCCTCGCTCCTTGAAGAGATCGAATTCGGTTTGTTCACAGACACTCAAGAGCCTCAAGCGTACACTATCAAGCACTTGCCTTCTTGCCTCTGACTCAACGGCCTCCATTGTCCAAAGCGGACATCCACATACATCCATTCATCTATCAATCTATCCATTCATTCATCGACTTTCTATCAAACAGACATCTGTGTTCTAGAGAAGATAGCAACAGAGCGCCAACACTATTCATTCACTATATATTATAACATTACATAACACATATATATAACATACATATATACAAGCTGCTGTAATATAACAACAACAAACAAATACTACTTACTTTACTTAGACATTCAAACTGAATTAAGTCAAGCAAACATACCCTACATATCAACCCAAGTAACACTATATACATACACATTATATATAATACCAAGAAACAATAATGACATTAATTAGAGATAACTTACCAGAGTATAAGCAATACTATTGGGGCATTCCAGATAGCCCAATAGATTGGTGCGAGCTCAATTATGAGGTGTCACCATATATTTGCGAGTTCTATAATACTTTCTCCAGCTTTATGATCTCTGCCTTTGCGATCTATGGCATCATCCTGCTGACCTACCCATACGGACACCGCCTGCAGCAACACATCCGCCTGGTCAGGACGACCGGCATCTTTGACAAGGTGGTTGTGGCCTACCTGGCGCTGTCGACCGTCGGCATCGGCTCGGCCTTCTACCACGCCACCCTCCTGTACAAACACCAGCTCTTTGACGAGTTCCCCATGATCATCTCCATCTCCTGCCTGCTCTACTGCCTGTTCACCATCGACCCCGTCGACAAGAGCGACTCGAAGCACTACAAATTGTTCCGCTTCCTGCTGCCCTACCTGTTGACCGTGTACTTTGTGATCGTGGCCTCCACCATCTACGTGATCCGCAACCTGCCCACCATCCTCCAGGTGTCGTTCGGCGCCCTGGTCATGATCCTGGTGTTTGTCAGTGGCCACATGAGCTACAACATGCCCACACCAATCGCCCAGTCCAACCCAAAGAAGTTCCTGGCCTACGCCGGTGCATCGATGATCACCGCGTACGGCTCGTGGCTGGTGGAGCGCAAGCTCTGCCAGGACGGCTACGTCATCCCGGGTCTGCAGCTGCATGCCATCTGGCATTGTCTCACCGGTCTGGCCGGATTCTTCTGGATGCAGTTCTATGTCACTCTCTCACTGGAGAAGAACAACTACAAGACAAAGATTCACTACAACTGGTTTGGAATTGGTTCCGTCAGAGGTTATGTCAAACTGTAAATGTCAATTACAGTTGTTTATTATAAATAAATAATATATAGTATAGTACAACATAATATCCATATTAGGAAGTGGATCCAATACTTTGACTCGACCAGAGTTTGCAATTGACAAACTCAATTTTACTAGTAATGAGTTTTGTCTGCAATCCCATCCAACTGCTGTATTGGAGGAGGCATTCAACCCTCCATGAGCGGCTCTATCATCTTGATATCAGGATTGCCTCCCATCGTCACCAAACACAGCTTAGTGGGATCATACTCGATTGTCAATGGGGAAGGTGGTCTAGGCCAAAGAGCGGAATAACTCGCCTAGCTATAATTATTATTTTTTTAATTAAATTCTAGAATGAATCTGATAAAAAGTCCTGTGCTGTAACAGCAGAGTTCTCTACATAATTGGTAATTTTATCGGCCCCATAAAATCCATTGGGTTGTTTGGAAATTGTAGAGTGCCAATTGGCTTCATTTAGATGTTGGTTTATACTATTAGCAGCCTGCTCTAGAAGATTTGAATATTATTAGTATTAGCAAAGTAAAAATGATTATTGTTAATTTTAATAAGTTTACCAGAAATTGTGAGGTCCACTTGATCAATACCATCAGTTTCCCTGATGGAAAGGAGTTATAAGTAAAAACAATTAATCTTAGATATTATTATTTATACTGTAAACACTTACATTTCATTTCCATAAACAAATGTCAATGTTGAGGAAGATAAAATGGTAACTAATATTAGTAAAAATAAACTAAAGATATATAATCTCATATTTTAATTGATTAGAAATATATTTTATCTAATTGAAGTTTGAAATGATTATATCTTTCAAATTATCAGTCGACTGTAAATATATATATAGAGATTTAATACATATACAAATTACACAAAAGGGTTAGTAATGTACAATAATATTATTATTTTATTTTATTATTTATTAATTTCCCGAAGTCAAGACTACAAAATGTAATTTATGTATTTGTATATGTATGTGTGGGTTTTATCAGTTTGTATGTCAAAGACTTAATATATGTGTAATCATTTTGGAGTGATTCAATATGAATCTATTGATTATTTATATACTATTTCAAACTATTTACTCTCTGAATTATTTTTAAATATTTATCTGGATAGTTTGTAGAATGGCTACCAAAGCGGCAATTACTTTGGCAATTACTTTGGCACTCATCATAGGTGAGTATTATACTTTGAGAGTTTATTTGGGTATGACAGTGAATGGTGCATAGTCAGGATTGCACTTGTCCCATGCCTTGAGGACAGAGACTTCAGCGATTTGTTTGCATTTGGGATGTGCCTCAAGTGATTTGATCGCTCTTCGTTTGGTACATTCTGGCATATGATTGTAGATACCAGTGAAACCACGTCCAAACTCTTGTGAGAACTTGCAATCGCCACTCAGATTGGCAGCTCTAATCTCTGTACAGGCCACATGAACACAATCATTTGGATCCAAATCATAACGACACGTGTCATAAGCATGTATCATTTCATGTACAATCGTATTCCTCAATGTCACCGAATATGTCTTTACATTGTTACATATCAGCAACTATCATATCATTGATTGATTGATTGAATGATTGAGAGAAGGGATGGTTAGTGTTTGTCAAGGACGGAAGCATGCTGTTAGATACACATACGCCTGTTCCAGCTTCGAAATAACCAAACGAAGGTTCATTGCATGGTATACACTTGATGATTGGAGGCAGACATCCTCGCTTGGTCATCTCCTTCATTATATATCTTAAAGTATCGTCTGTGCACAGGCAAGTATCGACGGTCACGGGTCAGCCAAACAATCAATCAATCAATCAATGAATTACTTACCCTCTTGTATAGTCTTGAGCACTACTCTCTCGCACTCTGTGTTGTTGGGCTCTACGAATACCTTTGGGTCTAGCATCTGTTTCTGACCCTCACTGATCGAATGTAACTTGATAGGTGGTTGTTGTGTATTTGTCATCATGCTACATTTATATTCATATCCATTGTTACTGTCTGTTGTGTCTGATGATGTGGATACTTGATCTACTACTTTGGTGTCTACTATATTGCTGTTGTGGTTGTTGCTATTTCCGATGCTGTTGAACAACATCTGCTTTAAGTGTTGTGCTATTGTCATTGTATAGTTGTAGTCGTAGTTGTATATATTATATCTCTCGATGAGATCTGATGACAGTGTGATGATGGAAAGAATTAAGTATCTCTTTCGTTCGTTTTTATCTCTTCAAGGGGTGCATGCTCAACTGATTGGCTTGGAAATGTCCAACTCGACAATGATCTAGGCTGACAGACATTGATGTGATCCAACAATCACATATTACTCACCATCCAGTTTGCTAACAATCCAGGGAAGCTCAAATACAAACTCAATCAATCACAAACTCACTCACACATGCCAGGTCTATGTTTACACGATCGAACACATCATATCCCATCAGATCACATTTGATTGAATGGTGATGATGGAGTGGAAGTTTATGAAAGGTTCTCGGGCTCGTTGTTGGTTGGCGCTAGGTTGGTTTGGCATGAGGTGGAGTCACAGAACTTGTCGGGAACAGGCTCGGCTGGTGCCACATTCTTGCTGAAACTGACGGATTGCAAATTAGCCGACATGCGCTCGTAGGTCTCCTTGTCGATCTCTTCATAAGGCATCTGAGCATAGGTCTGTTCGCCCTCTGATACAGGCAGGAAGCTGACACCCTTCAACTGATACTGGAAGTAGTCCAGTGCGTGCGGCAGTTGAACGCCCTCTGTCTTGGGGTTGAAGCTCACCGTGCAACTGACTTGGTTGTCGGCCCAATACTTCTGGAGGAAGGAGGCCAGCGACAGCTGCTCCCACATTGTCAGCGACTTTGATTTCCTGATGCCCTTGCCCGCGTGAATCGGTATCTCCACGACCATGTTGTACTTGTTCTCCACGGCTGGCTCCACCTTGTAGCCGGCCTCTTGTAGGGGCTTGAGCAGTGGCGAGCCTTGCTGCAATCTAACTCTTCTAATATAGTACTCGCTGATTGGATAGTGCATGCCTGGTGTGGCGCCAGCCAGTAGCGACACTGTTCCACTTGGTTTGATTGATGTAGTCTTGATTGATTTGGGAATGGCCAGCCACTCTGAGTAATGATTATCATACTCTTGGATGGCCTTGTAGCCCTCGGTCGACCATCGTTTCAGCTCGTTCAATCCCTTCTCTGTTATGAACTGAGCGATGCCACTCATTGAACAGCCAATCCTACGATTCCTGAGCAGCACACGATTGGTGTCGGGCCACTGAGTCTTGCCCAGTGTCACGGTCTTGGCGTACAAGAAAGCGTACTTGAGCGTCTCGAGGTAGTCATCCAGACTCTTGTGATTGTTGGGGAATGTCTCGACGAGACAGCACACCTCGAACGACTCGAGCGTCTGTTCGAGACATGGGTTGCCGCCCACGGCCCTAAAGTCCTTGTTGTCGCCATCGACTGAGTCCATGCGACTGAATCGCTGCATGTTCTCCAGCCATGCAAAGCCAGGCTCACCATTGTCCAGCACGCGCTCCGAGATGTTGCTGTAGTCCATGCCCAGTGGGGCAAACACCGAGTTGTTGCTCGTCCACCCAAAGTCTGCTCGATGTGGGTTGACCTTGTAGTTCTTCAAGTTGATGTACTCCTCGCTGAACGGGTCGCCAAATGCAATCTCGGCAGTCTGTCTTGTGTTGGCCGAGACTACGCAACGACCAATGAGGTTCATCAGGTCGACGATGGTCGTCACGCTGATGGGCTTGTCCAGGTCCTTGTCCAATGACTCTGCGATCGACAGATGTAGCAGCTTGAGGGACTCTGGGCCAGAGCTCTGACCGCCAAAACCACGGATGGGCTCGCCAGCCTTTCTAATCATGTTGTAATCAAACTCGACCTTGGGTCGGTTCAGGAAGTAAGAGTCGAGTAGCATGCGCACAGAGTCGACCCAGCCCTCGCGACAGTCGGGTATAACGAATGTTGTTGTCTTATCGCGTTTTGGTCCCTTGACGACCATTGTACCTGCGCCCTTTGTGTCAAAGCCCACACCAACGCCCAGCATTGAGGCGTCCATCAAGAAGATGAACGGCTTGGATGGGAATCGTCTCATGTGCTCAGTGGACACAAAGGCGCAGTTGTTGAGCGCGGCGTACAGGCCACGCTCTTCTGTCAGCGGGCTGCCCATTGCCCACAGACCGCGACCGGGCGGCAGGAACTTCATCGTGAAGATGCGCTCGTACATGTTCTGCGCTGACTGCTGCGCGGTCGTTGAGTTCCAGATCAGTCCGTGTCGCTCGATCCACTGCTTCTGCATGTTGAACGTGCCGTTGACGACGCGCTCCACAGTCTCGAACCATTGCTCATTGTTTCCATCGGCCTTGAGACGCGAGTATGTGCGGCGATAGACCAACTCGCCCAGCACGCCAAAGCCAAATGGTGCAGCGCGCTCTCTGTACTGCTCAACGAATGTTCTCGACAGTTTGAACTTGCGCTCTGGCTTGATCTCATCGTAGAGGAATGGTGTTGGCTCGTGTGGCACATCAGGTGCCGAGTCGCCATTTGTATTGGTGTTGGGTACGGCAGTAGTTGTGAATCGTCTCAATGTTGAGCCCAATCTCAATGTTGATACTGCTGTTACACAAGATGCTGTTGTCGTTGATCGCAATGTATTGACTGCTGATGCACCTCCCCTCAGATGTAATGAGGACAACAGTGGTTGCTATTGAATGGTTGGTATGTCAAGAGAATGAGCACAAGTTTGATTGATTGATCGATTGAATCGCGTGTCATATGTAATGGTACTGACCCTAAACGAACGAGCTATTGAGTTGCTGAGCATCATTATAAACGTGTAAACGTGTCACACCTGTACATATAGGAATGAATGAATGAATGAACTTGAGTGTGTTGTTGAACTCAGATGATAATAAAACTTGATAAACATGGGACAGACCTCAATGAATGAATGAATGAGTAATGATGAGGTGGTTATGTTAGGGGGTCGGAACCATGCCTACACGACTACAATCGTCTTGATTGCAATTTTGATTGAATCTTAACATAATCAAGATAAATGTAACTGTTTGAACATAATATTATAGTGACAGTTGACAAAGTATAATGTCGTCCACTACAATAACGAGTCAAGGACAATGAATGAATGACATTCTTTCTTTATGGCAAACCAAACCCGACTTATGTCCGACACTTACCAAAATAGGGTTCCAATCTTGTTGTGCTGTCAATGTGGACACTGATCGATATCCCCACAAGCATTCAATGTTGCTGTGTTTATGACAATGAATGAAAGAATGAATGTGGTTGTATTGTTACTATTCGAAATTTCAGAGGTAGCAAACATTACTAAGTTGGGTGCTTTTGTGTTGACAAGTCCCACGAGGACTACCACACTTCTTTAAAGATCAATCCATAAACACACCACTCTGTTGTCATCGATTACTACATGAATGATATCATATTAATGGGGTTTTTATTTAATTTAATTTAATATAAAGTTATTGTTGTTTGGGAGATCCTAGGATGGGTGGGGAAAAAAGGTCAGGGTCTCAACAACATCAAGAACAACATTTAATTTATTAATCTTAATCTTATTCAGTCTACATACACAAGTCATAAAGTGTACAACAACAACAAACACTGTCGTCTTTTTTGAAATTGAACACAAGTGTCTTTAAACTTCATCATCAACTAACATTAACATCATCGTAAGTGATTATCATCCACACCACTTCACTCACTCACACACACACAACATCGAGGGTATTGTTGACCCAACCCCAGGGGACGTGAGTGCTCCAGCCCTCAACTCGAGTGAAGAGATCCACCCACACACCCACATACACACTATATCTCTCACTCTCTCTTGCGCTCTCACTCTTTGCAGCCAATCATTCATTCCCTCGCACTCCTTCCTCAACCTCATTCATTCATTCATTTACAAGCAGTTGAGCAGTTGAGCTTTATAACAACAAATACATACATATACATATATTAAAACAATACAAATATATTAACTCCCTCCATCCATCAATCCTTCAATTCAATCATTCAATTTGGAAATTGGAATACTATAATAATTAATAATAATAATATAGGAAATATAGAGAATGGACGGTCCATTTGCTCAAACTAATATACAATCACCGCCACCAGCTACCTCACACGAGATGAGGGAGAAGGATGCCGCTGCACACCAGGAGCAGTCGTCATCGACACCAGAGTATCACTCAGAGGAGTTGATCAAGATGGAGTCGGACTATGCTGCCCACACCTACCACCCCCTACCCGTCGTGTTTAGACGGGCCAACGGCGTGTTTGTCTACGACATGGAGGACAAGCGCTACTTTGACTTCCTGAGCTCATACTCGGCCGTCAACCAAGGCCACAGCCACCCCAAGATCGTCGCTGCACTCGTCGACCAGGCCCAGAAGTGTGCTCTCAGCTCGAGAGCCTTCTACAACGAGATGTTCCCTCAGTACGCCAAGTACATCACAGAGTACTTTGGCTACGAGATGGTTCTCCCCATGAACACTGGTGCCGAGGCTGTCGAGACAGCCATCAAGTTGGCACGTCGTTGGGGATATGTACATGTAAGTACAACGAACGATCAATCATACCGATATACGTTAGGTACTAACATCCTTCACTTCACATACAATGTAAACAGAAAAAGATACCAGTTAACGAGGCAGTTATCATCTGCTGCCGTGGATGTTTCCACGGAAGAACGATTGGAGTCATATCATTGAGTGATGACCCATCATCATACTCGAACTTTGGTCCACTGCTGAGTGGATTCGTCAAGATCGACTATAACAACACAGACCAACTCGAGGAAGCCATCCAGAAGTATGGCGACCGTGTTTGTGGTTTCATCGCCGAGCCAATCCAAGGTGAGGCTGGTGTCGTCATCCCATTCGAGGGATACTTGAAGAAGTGCCAAGAGATCTGTCAGCAGAACAACGTTCTGTTCATTGCCGACGAGATCCAGACTGGACTGTGCCGCACTGGTCGCATGTTGGCCTGTGATTGGGAGGATGTCAAGCCAGACGTCCTGCTGCTGGGCAAGGCCATCTCTGGTGGTCTGCTCCCAGTCTCTGCCGTCCTCTCTTCAAAGGAGGTGATGCTCACCATCAAGCCTGGCGAGCATGGAAGTACCTATGGAGGCAACCCCCTGGCCTCCGCCGTGGCCATGGCCGCACTGGCTGTGCTCCGTGACGAGAACCTCGCCGAGAACTCCAACCAGCTGGGCGAGCACTTTAGAAACCAGATCAAGAACATCCCATGTCCTTTGATCCAAGAGGTCAGAGGCAAGGGTCTGCTCAACGCCATCATCATCGATCCAAACGCAACCATCTCTGCCTGGGACATCTGTCTAATGTTTGCCAACAAGGGATTGTTGGCCAAGCCCACCCATGAGAACATCATTCGTTTGGCTCCACCATTGTCAATCACAATGTCACAGCTCGAGGAATGCATTGAGATCATTCGTCAGGTGTTTGCAGACACCGCAACGATCAATCCAAAGGACATCCCCGGAAGAGACAAGTAATAACCTTTACTTGGCCACCTCTTTCTTTCCCTCTCTCCCTTGGCCATCATCAACACCTACGTTGATTGTTCGTTTATCTAATCAATGTAGTTGTTGTCCCTCCAACAACAGGACTCAATAAATAAAGAAATGTTGTTCACTCCATCAATCAATCAATGTACTCTTGTGTCCAAGGACTTGGGAATAGTGGAATGGAACGTCGCGACATCTATGCTACTGCTGCCCAATGATGATAGATAACCCCTTTGACACTACTTGTTCTTGCTATTCCATATGACAATTTATTAACTGACAGGCAAACTAACTAACTAACTAGACAGTTTAGATCAAACCAATCTTGTTGGCAACATCGGCAGCGTCGTGAGCTGGGTCCAAGGTGACAAAAGCCTTCTTCTCTCCGAGTGGGGTGATGACGGTGTTGACGCGAGCGACGTCGACCTCGTACATCTTCTTGACGGCCTGGGCGATCTGGTACTTGTTGGAGAACATGTCGACCATGAAAGTGATTGTGTTGTTGGCCTCAATCTGCTTGGTGGCAGACTCTGTGGTCAGAGGTGCCTTCAAGACTCTGAATTGATCCATCTTGGAAGCTCTCTTGACAGAGTTTCTTGGGTAGAGTGGGCTCTTGGCCAAGTGGAGGGTCTTGGGGCGTCTGTTGATTGGTGTGTTCGTAAAGTAATATGTTGTCAGCTATATGTTCAATCGATGATCGTGTCGTGTCACACGTCGTTGACGCGTTGAATGATCCATGTATCCCTCTCTCAATCTCTTTTCATCACTCATCATTCATTCGTTCATTCGTTCGTTCGTTTTTTGCTCGTCCTTAGTTCGCTTGATGATTGTTTCGCCTCAATATCCGTTGTCATCCAAAGTGTAACCTGTATCCAATATAGCCAATATGTTTGCTCTTGTGTCCAATCGAAGAGAGATAGAGTGTATCGATCTGTGTCAAAAACCTACCGGAAGATGACCTTAGTTCTGATCTTGCGAGCAGTCTTCTTCATGGTTCCCTTCTTGACAGCAGCGGCAGCGGTGGCGGCCTTCTCCTTCTTGGCACCAGCTGGACCGGTGATGACAGTCTTCTGTCCGGACTTGACAGAGAGATCCTGCTTCAAAGTGTTTCCTGTTTTGTTTGTATCGATTGAATGATTGTTAACATCTTCGTCATTGATCATCCATATGGATGGTTGTCGGTCATCATGATCCTGATCATCATCATTATCATCGCATTGTTGATATCCCTGTGTTTGAAACCTGGATGTTCATGATATGACATATCCTCTCCTCTCCAATTCGACAATAGATAGATAGATTACCCTTCTTAGACATTGTTATATGGATTCTGGAACGTAAGATGCTAGAATTGTGTCAAGCGTGATCTGATATCAATGTCAACTCGCGACGATGGGAGGTACTCGCTCGACCTCCTGTCTCCCACACCTTCTTCCAACAACCTCAAACTAAATTAAAAATTAAAACAAATCAAAAAAACAAATGGGGTTCTTTTTTCTTGAAGTTCGTTCATTCATTATATCGTGATAGATGTTGATTTGATTGATTGGTTGTGATGGATCAATCATAAGACCGGTATAGATAACGATATGTTATACCAATACTATTGAGACATATTTATTACCTTAATGTCCGGGATAGAATCATTCATCGATTCTATCATTCAAACAAAACATTGTATTCCTTGAATTATTTATAAATTGAACCTTTGGTGAAGGTGGTTCTCTGACTCATAAGGGTCACCACTTCATCTTTGATCATTCATTCATTAATTCCACAAGAGTACATATACATATTACATATACATTTACACTTATACATACATTTATCATATATAACGAACAATGAGAAGACAGAATAGACCAGAGTTGGATGGTGAATACTTGGATGAAGATGGTCAGTGAAACAAGTTATTGAAGCGCTCAAAGCTAACTCTATCACATTGTTACTCATACTCATACTCACATTGTTGCTCCACAACAAACAGAACAAAAGGACTTAATATCATCATTGCTAGAGAAGGACAAGAACATTAATATATTCTACTTGGTATGATGATGTTGATGTTGATGATTAAGAGACATGCTTGCTAATGAGCTAACATATTCATGAGTGTAGAAAGTGATCAGTGTCATTGGATTCGTATGTGGATCACTCAAGTTCTTGGTTGCTATACTGCCATTCAATGTACTGCCATTTGAGAATGAGGCACATAATATATTGCGAATGTACTTTTCTGGTCTTGGAATGTTCTGGCTGGAATGGATGTCGGCATCGTCATTCATTGCCGGCGGCATTGCCATGTATCCAAACATTGTCAAAGGCTTCATCAAGCGATGGATCATGCTCGTCAGCACCATCACCACATTCATCGGCTCCTTTGTGCTCTTCTTCATCACGGGCTCATTGATGACCTCACTCTGGACACTTGGCGTCAACAGCATCTTCCTTGTACTCTGTATCTATGTCAACACAATCACTAGCAACACTCAGAGTGACATTGCATCTCTAAACAAGTACACCTACAGTCATAAGAAGGTGTAATTCATTTACAACATCAAGCAATACACAATACAACACAAAGATATATCTTTCGATCGATCGAGAAGTCATCAGGCTAAGCTAGGCAAGGCATTGTCGCATCTTGACTGCCTGTCTTGCCTTGCTTTGCTACTTTCATTGTGTTCTAAAGATTGGCGTGGATCTAGACGCTGTCGGATGATGAGGCATCATTGATGAGAGGCCTCCTCTCACCTGCCTCGGGGCTCTCGGGGCCTTCTGCAACCTCGACATTCTCATACTTCCACTTTGAATAGACACGCTTCTGAGGCAGCAATCGCACTGCCAAGATGTCAACGATCACAGTAGACACTGTTACCAATCCAATACCAGATACAAACTATGTTTGATTGATTGATTGATGGATGCGGGAGTGAGTCCAAATGAGCAACTTCCAAAGGAATTGATTGACTAACTTACCGTAAGCAACATCACTTGGAAGTCAAACTGACCAATCTCGCCAGTTTGGATGAAGAGGATTTTGATGCCATGACGATCAAAGACGTAGCGATGGTTGACATCGGTGGTGTAGATGGGCTCCTCCACTTTGAACTTGGCATCCTTGATCAGTTTGAACTCATAGGAGTATCTATACTTGTTGGTGTTGTACGTGTACGTGTTTGAATACGTGATGAAGCACAATATAATGATACCATCATCACGAATGCTCCTTGATGTGTTGCTCATACTTGGTGCATCCAAGCTCTGCAGTCCTGCTGCAGCCATGATCGTACCCAATGTCAATATATCATACTCATTCTCGATTCCAACGATGTTTGGTGGCTATGTATGAGTGAGGCCTGTTAGTGTCGTTCTCTCATTCATTCGATCAATCAATCAATCGACCAAACATACTCCTGGTATCCATTTGTGACCTGATGAGTTCCTGAGTAGACCTGGCAACTGCCTGGCATTGTATTGGATGCCAAGGTCGGGAGCAGAGATCGTGTGATCGAGCATTAGAGTGAAGTTACTGATGTCGGCCACGTAGAATGATGATGTGTTGGAAGTGACGTATACGCAGTCTGGACTGCTGAGTGAGCATCCATTGTCAGTGTCCTGTGTCTCAGTGGTGACTCGCGTCGAAATAAAGATTGAGTTGTCCGCTGTCGGAGGATACACTGCCAGTAGTTCATCCCAATACTCGCAAGGCAATGTCGGATATCCATTATAAGTAGAATTTCCAGATGATAGACAATACTGTGGAGTAGGATTCCTGTAATCTGGCTACATTGATTGAGTGAATGGATGAATGAGTGAGTGAGTGATCCAGCCAGACAACCAGTCGTCTGCCCAGCATGACATACCGCCATCAAACTTGTCCTGATCGAACCAATTGGAGTCTCCAGTGCCAGGTATCGCTTCTCAAGTACGACAGTGAATACAATGATATATACAACAATGGCAGCCATGAATAAGTAGTGAAGGAATGCCAATCGCTTGTCGCGTATATTCACAACCTTGACTGTCTGTTGGGTGTTTGGTTAAGATAGGTGTAAGTATAGGGCAAGCTTAGAGTCAAGTGCAGGGTTAACATACCTGGTAAGACAGAACATTGTCTTTGGTTGGTCAATAATGTAATGTAATGTAATGAATGAGCTGTTAGTTTGATTGATTGATTGATTGATTGATTGATTGATTGATTGATTGATTGACTGTGATGATACATACTCCAATCAATATTGATAGCCATATCTGATTGAATCAAGTGAAATATATAATACAAATAAAAGATAGATAGAATAATCAATGAATGAATGAATGAATGAATGAATGAATGGATGAATGAATGATTGGTTGATGGGTGTTGCTCTACAGCGAATCAATCAACAAGCTTTTGTGTGTGCAAAATTGATTACCACTCCGAAGTGTCCAACCACACATCGCAAAGACTGTTGTCGGCCCCAACAATCGGATATTTGGTCTTGGACAAGACTTGTCCTTTCTTTTAATTATGCGATTGAACAGGACACAAGTTCATCAATAAATGGTAATGATTGATATCCGCCAAACATCTATATTTCAACAACAAGATTTAATTCGTCTTGGTCTTCTTATTCGAACTTGATGAAGACTTGCTACCACTATTCTTGTTTGACTTGGTCGATGGTTGCTCTCCTCTGCCACCCTGTTGTAATTCAAGGTATGAGTAAGTGTATAACATAACATGACATGACATGCATGACACTTACAGTGAATATTAATAAAGCCATCATAAAGATTAATAGAACAACAGCTACTATGATGGCCACAGAAATGAAGATGCTGTAATCTCTAAGTTCAATTGGTAATGATTGGAATAGATATGTAGAGAATGAATTCTGCATTCTCTTCAATGCTGTATTACGTATATTGGTATATGACACTGGCATGTTGTTTATAATGTACAAATAGGTAAACTAGTATAAGTGTTTGTGAATGAATGAATGAATGATGACTACAATGCTGTGCGTCTTTGACGACCAAATTACTAAACAAAAATGAAATGAATGAAGCTTGAGCGACGAGCACACACCTGACGATCATTCATTCGAGTCTTTGTTTGAAACACACAACACATTAAAGAGATAATACTCACTCATTATTTAATTAAAGATATAGAATGATTATTCCAGTACGTTGTTTCACCTGTGGCAAGGTTATCGGTAACAAATGGGATACATATATGAGTCTTATTACCAGTGAGTACACAGAAGGGTATGTAATTGAAGCAGCTTACAAGTATCAATCGATCACCCTCAATCATTAATGATTACTAACCTATAATCATCAACATGAACACATTAAAGTGATGCCTTGGATGTGCTCAACTTGAAGAGATACTGTTGCAGACGTATGCTTTTGACTCATGTCGATCTTATTCAGAAACTGTAAGAATGAACCAATGGATGAATGAATGAATAGATGAATAGATGGATAGACGCATGATGAAGATGTGACATCAGCAACAGCATCATTAATATGTGCAAACATACTAACTAATCAATCTATCAATCAATATAACAACTCATAGGCTAAGTTATACACCAACATCATCAGGAGGACTCAAGAGAAGATAAACAATGAAGCGAAACAGTTCATTATAATTATCACGACACCGTTACACCTACACCATCAAACAAACCAACCAAACATTGAACAATACGACTCGACACTTCTTTCTCTCTCTCTCAATGGGCAACACACAGAATCCAATCGACCAATCGATCAATCGATCAATCAATCGAACAAACGATCAATCGATCAATCATAACAATCATTGCTGTTTGGACCAATTGGAACATATATATATATATATCACTCTCACACTCAATCAATGCTCACTGGAATCAAATCATTCATCTCTCTCCCATCACTACATCCACATCACCTTTGCGCGCTACGAACGTCCAAACACATTGCGCGCACGACTCAACATGTTAGCAGCAAGTCAGACCTGCGCAGTCTGACACCTACATAAAATAAAGTATAGTTATAAGTACTTGTAATCACTCCAACATCAATCAATCCTTGTTATTACTCTTGCTTGTTGTCGGTTTGCATGATCACTTTGAACGAACTTCCATTTCGTCCTGATATCGCTCGAACATTTAAATTAATTTATTTTTTGTTTCGTCCTTCCAACTCACACACACACTCTCGCCTCTCCCTCGCCACACGCCAGTGACCTCTCGCACTTTAACAATGCTCACCAACTTAGATAGCCTATCACCAGTTTAGAGTCTTCCCTATCACATCTGGTAGGTTATCATATATCATAGCGATTCGATGCGATGCGAGCGACATCCGTCAATCAATCAATCTCTTCATCTTCATCAAGAAGCAGGCAGAATCGATGAAGGATTGAAGGATTTGAAGGATTGATGGATTGAAGGACAGATGGATCATCGCAACATGAAACAGATCATTGATCACATCATCTCGATATACAGAGAACAACAAGAACACAGCATCTAACACTCATTCACGCAAATCAATCAATCAATCACAATCGATATCAATCATCATTGCGATCTATCATACAATGTTTGAATCAATGATAAACTCAATGCGATACGCGATAATATAGTGTAGCACAATGCCCTCACCAGTCGTCAGAACCAAGATCGTCAAGAAGAGAACCGCCAGGTTCGTCCGCTTCCAGTCGGACCTCTTCGCCAGAGTCAAGCCCTCATGGAGAAAGCCCAGAGGTATTGATAACCGCGTCAGGAGAAGATTCTCTGGTGCTCGCCCAATGCCATCCGTTGGTTACGGTTCGGACAACTCCACCAAGAACGTCTGCCCAGACGGATACAAGCACTTTGTCATCAGAAACATCAAGGAGCTCGAGGTCCTCCTCATGCACAACAGACGTTATGCTGCCGAGATCTACCACGGTGTCTCTGCTCAGTCCAGAAAGGCCATCGTCGAGCGTGCTCGTGAGCTTGATATCAAGGTCACCAACGCCAACGCCAGATTGAGAAGCCAGGAGAGCGAGTAAATCCCCAGTTTACTTATTCAGTCCTAACTCTAATAAACCACCAGTATATATACATAGGGAATCAATCCATATCCTTGACCTCCATCACATCATATCAATCAAACAGAACTCACTCCAATCAATCACAACCGATCAATCAATCAATCAAGATCAATCATGTGACCCTTGTGACCTTCACATTGTTGGACCAGTGATTGGCCATTCATCATTGAATGATTGATTGACGAGTGTAAGGTTACCACGTTTCCAACTTTGAGTTTACCGCTGGGCCTAGTCTCATCCAATAATCAATCAAACATCCAATAATCAATCAAACATACACACACAAAACAAACGACACCACTAGTAACTTTCGAAAATATCTGTGATTGGATGGTTGATGGCTTTGTTTTGATGGGTGCGAAAGACTCTGAAGATGGCCTGGCTCCGCTGCAGGTCCAAAAAGTATCCAAACGTAAGCATTTTTACCTCCTGACAAAGACCATGTCTAGCGCTAACAGGCCTAGGGTAGGCCTTTTGTTGACCAATAGGATGGAAGAGGTAAAGGAATACTCTATTCATTCATAACTCATATATTATTACTATCTATCTATAAATCTTTGTATATATAAAACTTATAAATATAGTGATGAGAATAAGATGATGATGCAACAACAACAACAACAACAACAACAGCAATCGTACTTCGAGGAGGACGATGAGGATTTGGAAATACATTACTGTGCTGTGTGTAACTCGACCGATGTCCAGATATGCACTGGATGTCTAGGTATATTCTACTGTGGCAGTGAACATCAATTACAGCATTGGCCTGTGCACAAGGTTCAATGTCTGAATACATCATCATCAACATCATCATCATCAACAACAACAACAACACCAACTACAAGTGTGGAACCTGTAGTCGTCGTACAACAAGTTGTTGAAACAACATACACTATAACAAATATCAAGTTACCACCTCCACCTCCACCTCCAACAACAACAACAAAAACGACACCCTCGCCAACTACCACGTCTCCGCCAGGAGCAACTGCAGTTTCCGTCGCCAACAGCACCACGACGTCACCCAGCAAACAGGTACCCCCGCCACCTGCCCAACGATATTTACAAACACAGGCCCAGGCTCAGAGTCAGCAAGCACAACAGACACCATCAATACAGACCCATCCATCAACACAAACATCATCTACAACGGCTGCCCAGACTACGACGTCAAAGCCAAGCCCAACACAGTCATTCTTGAGGTCGACTACAATGACGAATAGCCGACCGACAGCACAGTTAGGTGCGCCTAGAGTGTTGGGCTTGCATAAGAAGAATCAGTCGCTACCTGATATTGCTCCACAGACATTGTCGGATGGACCCACGCCACTTGATTCGTCGTCGTCGTCAATGGTGCGTGCCGAGAGTGAGGAGGACTTGGCAGACATTAGCAAGCTGGCAATCAAGAGGGCAACCCGACCCAAAGGCCTACGATATAAGGACTTTGCAACAGAGTTTGAAGAGGGTGATGGCACCATTGAGTTCAAACCAAGAGAGACAACTACAATGGATCAGATAACATCATCATCGTCGCCCGATGTCAGGAGGGCTATCCCTATAACCACCTCCAACTCATCATTGTCGTCATCATCAGACAACCAATATGTACATAGCAACAACAATACAAATGATCAATCACCAACACCAAGTGGAAGAAGTCCTACTAAGCCCAAGACAGGTGGCGGTGGAAGTCCGCAACAGAATCGCAAGGCAAACAACAAGTTTAGTTTGATAAGGCTGGCAACAAAGAGCCGTGTGTTGGGCGGCGGATCATCATCGACATCGCACTCTCATCACACCAAGAGTTCAAAGAAGACTCAAACAACACATGATATTGGTGCCGAGCTAACAACTGGCCATCCATCAACACATGCACCTACCCCTGGAACACCGACGTCCAACGCACACACCAAGATATTCGGACAGCCATTGGCGGTGGCCATCCAGAGATCGGCCAAGTCACACCCCTTGCTCCCGGACCTGGTGTTCAAGTGCCTCGAGTACCTAAAGCTGCGAGGCTCAAAGGAGGAGGGCATCTTCCGTATCAGTGGCAGCGCGGCTGCCATAAGTAAGGTGCGCGAGGAGTTTGATAATGGTGTCGACGTCGATCTGAGCACACAGCTCGACCATCATGTGGTCAGCGGAATCCTGAAGCTCTACCTGCGCCAGATACCCGAGACAGTGTTCAACGAGCAGTTCCCAGACGAGTTGGAGGAGTTGCGCGAAGGCGGTAACTCGTCCGACGCCATCAACATGAGGATTGAGCGCATCACCCAGTTGCTCAAGCAATTGCCCGAGTCCAATCGCTGCATCATCCATCATCTGTGCTCACTACTCAACACGGTATCGTTTGAGCCGGCCACCAAGATGAACACCGTCAATCTGGCCATCATCTTTGCACCCACACTCGGATGTCCGGTGGAAGTGATGACCGTACTCATCGACTACTATGAGCCAATATTCTCGCAGCAGACCTATGACTATAATTAATAAACTTATTATTATTATTATTATTATATTCCCTCAACTTGTGGAATGGATCAAGTTGGAATTCTTCGTCATCAGATATTTCTTTAATGTGAACTTGCCCCAACAATTAAGATATTGAGGGAATGGGCGAGTGGAATCTGCTGATGCCTCATCCTGATCAGATGGGAATAGGTGATTTAATGGATTGTCACCAATTCGTTATTCCAGAAGAATAATTAACAAGAATGATAAGTGATACTACACCAACTCTAACATATGTAAGTTATATTTGATGAAGTGATAGTACCAACAACTAGATCTCTCACTGACTCAATCTCAGTTTAACGCTCGTGCCAGAGGTGAGCTTACAAGATTGTTACTCAACTATTTGGATGTAGAGTTCAATGATGTAAGAGTAGCATACCCATTGGATAAGGATCTGAAGGCATCACTTCCCTTTGGTCAACTTCCAATGTTCAAGGATAATGATGTAACATTGGTACAATCAACAGCCATCGAATCATATATTGCAAACAAGTATAACATCGCTGGTACAAACGATGTCGAGAGAGCACAGATACATCAATATGTCTTGGCCACCATGGATGTATACAATCCATTCTTCTTGGTGTGGCGAGATGAAGCTTTGGTACTCAAGTACACATTGGACAAGGCACCATTGTTCCTGCCTCAGTTTGAATCGATCGTGAATCAGTGCAAAGGTGAATACCTTGTTGGCGACACATTATCATGGGCCGACCTGGCCTGGTTCAACATGGTCGACTACTTCACACACTACAATCATCTGAAGGATGTGATCAAGAACTATCCAGCACTGATAGCGTTTCACAAAAGGATAGGTGATCGACTGCCTGAGAGAACCAAACAGTATCTAAAGAGTCGTGAGAGCACACCTGTATAAAGTTATCGTCACTTTAATCTAATCAACGCTTTGAAGGCACCAGGTCAATCCAACCATCATCTTCCTTTGCGAATCGCTCCTTGATCGTCTTTATCTGTCGCAGTCTTTCCTCCAAGTTCGATATGAACTCTGTCTTGCCATCGTACAGCATGGACATCAGCTGTTTGTGAGTGCGTGTGTTGGGATGATTAGTATGCGCAGTAAAGAGGACGTGTGAAGAGACACTTACGTTGGCGTTGATGGCTGTTTGGATAACGAGTGAGGCGATTGATCGCTCGGATACAATTTGGACATTGTGAATGGGTCCAAAGAGTGGGATCTCCTTCTTCTTCTTGATCTCAACGCGATACCATCCAATGTCCATGGGATGGATGACAATGGTGACAAAGTTGAATTGGCCAGAGATCAGCTGCGGATTGAAGTCGTCGCCAGAGTCTGAAAAGATGATATTGACATAATCATTGCCAATGTGTCGCTTCTTGTTGGTGAACATCTTGTCATTGTCGTGGTTGGGCATCATCGTGGTGACGTGGAATACGATCTGCGAGATACGGTCGCGCCAATGTATCGTGACGTCGCCGTCCGACTTGCCGTTGCGATCCAGGCCGCCTGGATAGACGTCAATACGCTCGGATATGCGCACCTTCTCGCCTAGGCCATTGAGGAACTGTTGGTATCGCGGCGAGCCCTTGGTGTTGGCGAGGAACTCCTCTTCGGTCTTTTGATTGGTACCGACGTAGATCAGGCCGATCTTGTAGGTCTCTGAGCAAAAGGTGTGATCGAGCACGCTGAGCGCACGCTCAAACGTGTGTCCTGTCTTGATCTCCATTGTGATGTCGCCAGAGAACTGATGCAGGTGATAGAACACGACGCTTGGGTCGAGAATGGTGGGGTCGACGCCTGGCCCGTCGTTGGGCAGGGGAGGCGGTGATGGGGAGTTGGGCGGGGAGATGCCACCCGGCCAGAGAGAGGATACTTGTGGTGTCATAGTTGAGTGAGGAGTGCTTCTTTGGCAGGCCGGCATCGTCGTCAAACAGGCTGGGAATGTGGGAGAAGCTTGTTGTCTGAGGTGTGGACGAGTACGTCGATGAGTAGATGTTGGACTTGAGTTGCTCCAACTGTGAGGGCGGCTGTGTCTGAGTTGGGGAGAAGCCCGCGTGTGGCGCAGGGTACTTGGGCTTGTAATGTGCGAGTGTGCTTTGACCGAACGACGATGAGGATGCTATCTGGGGCTGATGTTGTTGTTGGAATGCATGTGGTTTGCTATACTGCTGGTGATACAGATCACGTTGTTGTTGTACAAGTTGCTGAGCCTGGATCTGTATTGGCGTCGAGCCACTAGAACCGCCAACGCCACTGCCAATGCCCAAACCATGTGCACCACCAATGTTCTGAGAGGTCGCAGAATGAATGAGAGGTAGTCGCTTGTAGTGCATCTTGGCTTGGTTGAGTGAGTGCTGTGAGAAATGGTTCAGGTTTGGTGGGATGCTGATTGGCGGGACAAAGTTGTTGGTATAAATGTCGCCATGCATTCCAGAGGTCGTCGATGTCGAGCTCATGGCAGACTTGATCGAACTGTCCGCCATCCTTGATGATGACTGAGATGATGTGGTCGTCGTCGAGCTCTTGATGATGCTGCTACTGTTGTTGTTGTTGTTATTGTTTGTCGGTTTGATTGGACCCTCTTTGGGGATAATTGTCAAGCCAGTTTGGAGTGGGGATACTGGCTTGAACGATGATTGACTAGTTGATACATTGTTTGATTGTTGTGATTGCTGTGAATGTTGTTGCTTCTGATGATGATGATGCGAAGAATGGAAGGTGGTGTCCAGTGGGGATTGAGTTGGCGTTGGTTCGAGAGTTGGCGTTGGTGAGACGAGGGGATCGCTGACAGAGGACGAAGAGGCACCTTGGCTCTCAAGCGTGAATGAGGTCGACTTTACAAGCTTGGGTGAGCCCAATGTGGTGCCGGACTTGGGTTGCTCCTTCTTGGCAGCACTACTCAGCTCTGAAGCAATCTTGTATTCGTTACTTGTGCTGCTATGGCTGTTGGTGTAGCTGTGTCTGGCCATCTTCTTGGGTGTGAGATAGGGCGATGTCTCCTCGTCCACTGACAACGAGAAGATCTCTGTCTGTTTGGTGGGCGAGTTGTTGGTCGAGGAGTTGGACGATGGCACCTTGACCAGCTTGAGTGGCGTGGATTGCTGCGTGATCTCAATTGGATTGGAGTTTGAGTCGAGTGCCATGGTCGTTGCCGTGCTAGTGGAGGGTGGCGAGTTGGAGCCTACATGCAGCAGAAGCTGAGCATTGAGGTTGAGCTTGCCGTTTGGCTCGACAACATCGTTCGTCATCTCGAGCGGGGATGACCAGTTTGTGGTGAATGATAGTATCTCCTCGTCATCGTCGAATGAGGGCAATGGCGGGTAGTACTTGGACAGCGTGGACAGCGGGTTGGGTGGGGTGTTCTCGCCCGAGCCATAGCTATACTTGAATGGGCTCTCAATGTTTGATGTCAAGAACAGGCTGTCGGGCTTGTCCATCGATGGTGCGCCCAACAAAGGAATATCCAAGTGTCCACTGCTTTCCAGCACCAAATCCTCCATTACATCGATCGACTCATCATTGTGTTGAAGAACCTGTTGCTGTTGTTGTGTGTTTGTGATGGATGATTGTTCGTCTTCTTCGACTTCGTCTTCTTTGTGCACTTCAGCAAAAGAGGCGGGCGAAGGGGAGATTGAGGCGCCTTGTTGGTTGGGAGACGTGAGGAGTGTGTGTGAGGAGATGAGATGGATGGGCGTCATGGTGTCCTTGGATGAGTCCTCGGGCAACAGAGACAAGCTCAGTGAGAGCTCCAATGCTTCAGCAATCGATGGGATTTCAAAGCGCTTGGCCAAGTCGTCCAGTTTGGATTGGATGGGCTTGAAGATGGGATAGTCCTCAGAGGACTTGTGCGTGGTCGTGGCAGTAGTCAAGGCCGAATGGGAGCCGGAAGCATTGGCATTTGCCCCAGAGGTGTTGGTGGTCGTGGTGCTTGGTGAGGTGGCCGCCGCCAACCTATCGACCTCCATTGATGTGGCCAGCTGATTGATCGCTGGTGAGTATGAGCGGACCTCGTTGGCACCGCCAGGCACCATCACTGGCGACAAGGACGGTGAGAGCGGCGAGGTTGGCGAGAACTCCTTGCGGAAGTAAGGCTGCTTGGGGAGGTTCACCAGCTGCGAGTCCATCATCTGATTGTTGATGCCCATGTACAGGTCGTAGTTGGACGTGATCGATGGGTTGAAGTTGTTCTGGAAGCGCATCAGCCACACGACGCAGCCAGTGGCCTTGCGATGCGTCACCTCGGCCCAGCCCAGCTTGCCCGTGCGTATAGTAATGAGCGAGCAACCCTGTATCCATGTCTTGATGAGGCCCTCGTGGAAGATGGGACTAGAGTGTCGCATTGGATAATGGAATGGATCAAAGTCTGTGTGAATATATCGATTGAGCAACTCGACGCAGATCTCATTGAACAATGCCTGCTTCTCCTTCATGTGTCCATCAATGCCTTTGATAATATTGCGAACCAATATCACTCTAGACGAGTCGCTGCATGCTGTGAACCATCTTATCAGACTCTGGAAGGCCATAAGCACGAGTAGATGGTTGTACTATGATGTTGGGAACGAGGGAGTGTTGTTAGTTTGATTGATTGATTGATTGAGTGAGTGAGGACCACATGAGGCTTACCCTTGATCGATCTAAGAACTGGATAAGGAGCTTAAAGATGAAGGTGAGGCTTTCCAGGGGCAGTTGAGAGACGAGCGTAGGGGTCGACACTAGTACATTGAGATATTGGAGGATGGAGTAGAATGTCTCCTTTTGTGTGGCACCAGATGTGGAGATCTGATGCAGTGCCTTGGCGATGTTCTGAATGTACTTAAGTGTGATCTTGAGTGGGAACTCTGTTGCGCATAATGTCAATCCGTTTAGACAGATGGCTTGAATCTTTAGCTTGGTCTCACTGGAGAATGACCACTTCTGACACAGTCCATTAAAGAGTGCAGCCACCACATTATGAACAGTCTGTTGAATATTGGTGATGCCAACGTTTGGCATTGGCATTGTCATGTAGGGTATCACATTGCACAGCAGCTCAAAGCCCAATATGTATTGGCAGTCCTTCCTGCCTTCGGAGTTCTAATGATGTATGATTGATCGAGTGGGTTAGTAAGGATCGGAGATGAGGGCCAGGGGGACGACGGACATACCTGATAGTCTGTGATTGAGTGTCCAAGGGACTTCTCGTTGAGCAGCCTGATGAGGATATTTACAAAGGCTTCGATGTGAGACTCCATGCCAAATAGGATGTACTTGTTGCGTAGGAAGGAGGAGAGGATTTCAAGGGTGATGCTGTACAGTTCGAATGAAGTCTCCTTGTTTAGACGGTCCATCAATCCTGCCCATACATTGGCAACGGGGAAGAATCCATCCAGTGCATTGCTGCCCTTCTTCTTCTTGGTCGCGGCATTAACTCCCGCTCCCACTCCTCCCGCACCGCCAATGCCACCACCGCCAATACTACCTTGGGGAACATGTGGATTGGGTGCGTTGACTGGGCCACCACGAGGCGATCGCTGGACAGAGGCCGACGAGACATCGTTGAAGAAGTGATTGTTGGGCGCACAATGTATGAATGGACTGGAGACACCGTCGTATTGCATCTGGTACCACTTGGTCGACAAGAGTTTGGAGACACAGTGCAGTATCTCCCTGCGAAGTTGATGGCTCTCATGTGACATGTGCGCCAAGATTGTGGACCACGCCTCCATTGTGAGCGTGGCCGATGGATGTACAAAGCGCGCCGAGAACACCGATATCAGGCCTTGGAGTGAGACATGCGCCACGTCTAGCATTGGATGCGACTCGCGTATTGCGCGATCAAGTATGGTTACCAGCGTGTGGAAGATGCTCGGTGTCTTGGCCTTGGTTGTAATCTCGACCAGCAGGTCCAGACTGAACAGACGGACGGTGGCGTCACGGTCCTTGTACACATCGCTCATTGCTGGTATCAGTATGTTCTCGATGATCTCCTCGCCGTAGATCAGGCGGTACGTGTGATAGAGTTGCTTGAGCTCGTGCAGCATCCTGCGCCGGACCTTGGTGCGCGTGTCTTTCTTGAGGAACAGGTCGACCAGCGTTGTCAGCTTGATGATCCAGAGTGCGTGTGACGGATGCACCTTGGCCATCTGGTGCGTGATGATCTTGATAAGTTGTTCCTCGCTCTTGAGCTTGAAGAAGAGTGATGATGCGCGGAACAGGTCTGTGTGGCTGCCCAGGAATAGTTTCTGATCGTCTAAGTCCTCGATCAGCCATATTGTGTCGCGCAGTACTATCGCCAATGAGTTGATCTTCAAGTTGCTGGTGGCTGTGGTGTCGTTGGCGGCCATCGCCGCGTTGGCAACACTGCTACTACTGCTGGCATTGCCGCTGATGATTGATAGTGATCCGCTACTACTTGTCGCGCCAGACATGTTGTTGTTGGACAGGATGTTGCTGCCAGAGTGCGAAAGGGTGCTGGGGTCGGCAGACTCGGGGTGCGCCGTGATAAGTATATGGATGCTCTCAATGATCAAGAATATCAGATCCCACTCGACGTGTAGCTCGCGGCCAAACTTCTTGATCAGTCGACGGATGGCCAGGATCACCTCGAACGCGATGATCTCCTGGCCGCCCACCAGCGAGTTGAATAGTGACGGCAGGATGAACGCCGGACTGATGCCAATGGTCGGGATGCGCTGAGGTCCCCACACGGACATGCCGAGGAAGAAGACTGAGCCACGCAGGAGATTGATGGTGTGGCGGTTGTGTGGGTCGTTGAGGATGTCGCACAGCGACTTGATGCCCTGGTGCGTGTAGCTCGCCAGCAGACTCTGCATGGTCGTGCAGCTGGGGTCGCACGCCACGTCGATGTTGACCGTGCGGCTCAGCGACGCGATGATCATCGACACGCAGGGCGGCGGGATCACCACCTGGCTCGTCACCAGGTTGAAAAAGGACAGACTGCACTCGATGATGACGATGTGCGTCGACGAGTTGGATAGCATGCAGATGTTGTTAATTAGAGATGCCAGGTTGCCCTCGGACAGCCTGCGCTGCGAGTGTCGTATCACCAGCTCGACCAGAGCAAAGATGTCTGTGACAAACGATGTGAGTGCCGTCTCGTTGGCGATCGTCAGCACCAGGCCCAGCCAGCGCACGAGCAAGTCTGCTATGTAGTCCTCAAACGGTGAGATGTCACGACCATTTCGCGTGAGTGCTGTGAGTGCTCGGATGCGCAGGTGTATGGGCACGCGCGTCGTCGACGATTCAATGATGTTGAAGAAGTCCTGGCGAATGCACGACGAGGTGATTCCCGTGCCCGGGCCTGTGCCCGACTGCTCCATCAGCGTCATCATCACATTGTAGGCCATCTGTTGCAGATCGAGCGCGAATCGATTCTCGTCGAATAAGTCGCAGATTGAGCTCCACACGATGTCGATGTTGTGGCAGTCTTCTATGCGTATCATCTTGAGGAACTCGCTCACATCCTTTAGATAACTGAGTCTCGCCTGTGCATTGAGTGTCCTAGACATTGTCAATTCATTCTTGAATCGTTCGCTGAATGCATTGTTATTGTTGTTATTGTTATTGTTGTTGTTGTCGAGTCCTTGTTGTCCATGCTGCTGTTGTGATGATGTTGAAGTCAACATGGTACTATTTGATTGTCCTGTGTTGTTGTTGTATACTCCACTGCCACCTCCACCTCCACTGCCACCGCCACTGCCCATGCCAGTGCTAATGCCACTTCCTATATAGTTGGTGTAACTGCTGTGCGAGGTTGTCGTCGTCGTCGTCGACGATGTGTCATCGCGGTCTTCTTGGGCATCTGGCGAGACACCTGTGCCTCCACCGAATATATCCTTTATACGACGTAGTACATTAGACTTTGGTGAAGGTACATTTGAATCGTATTTCCCGCTGCCGCTCTTCATCTTCGCTCACTCAGACAAGTCTGTCTGTCTTTCTGTCTTTCTGTCTTTTTAAACGACTGTCGTTTCGTGTAGTTCGTTCGATCGTTTCGTTTGTATGTATGTCTTATGTGTCTATCTATCTACTTCATGTATAATGTAAATATATTATTATGTGTGTAACAATGAATAGGTAAGTATAAAGTAAGTAACAAGCATCTGCATCGTCTCATCTTGAAAGTGAGTGGTGAATGAACACAATGCATGTCAAAGATTCGAATTTATGGGATAACTTGAAGATACATCGCTTGACGATTCCCATCTTTGGCCCGACACCATCCATCAACTAACCAACAACAACAACATTAATGATAACCCTGCAAACATGTTGATATGATTGATCATAGTATTACCCATCAGGGTAATATTATCTGCAATGCTACTGCCTCTGATGCTTTAAAGAATGAATCCATTGGACTGATGTATCAGTCTCATATTGATATTTTAATACATTTAAATAGGAAGTAGGTAGGTCATATCAATCAATCATTCATTCACTCCACTGCTGTTTGAATCGAGGAAGATGGATTGATCGATATTAATAATAATAATAGCATTACAATGGGTAATTTTGATGTTGATGTTGATGTTGATGTTGTTGGGCTCGAGCCGCCATGATGTACTCTTACGACATGGCTGGTATTACTGATGATGTTGATGAAAAGGAGGAAGAAAATGGATGATAATTATGATAGGAACACTCTACAAGTCATGTGCCTTGTCGAACCATGGCAGCACTGAAGCGGCAACAGCAAAGAACAAAGCGACTAATGCCAGAATCCAACCAGAGCCTGGTCCAAACTTTGTGCCATTCTTGTTACCAGTGAAGCTGTTGGCGCATGTTTGGACACATGGCGCAAAGATACCTGTCATTGTTGATGCTCCATCAATATCCTGGAATTGATTGAATTGAATTGAATAAGTAAGTGATCGAGTGATCAGGTGATCAGGTGATTGAGTGATTGGAATGATTGATTGAAATAACATACTGATTTGAAAGCTGGAGTTATACCTCCACCTAGTACTACAACACACATAAAGAGTACAACTGTTGAGATGATAATGACAATCTTGCAGACCAACCACATGACCTTTGACTTTGTTCCAAACACCTCAATCTGAACAAGGAACACCAAGATCACTGCAGTCAAACATGCCAGCCATGACAATGCACACAAAGCAACTGCTGCATTAATGATTGAATGTGTTCTATTGTTGTTGGATAAGTTGGATGAGTTAGTATGGTTGATGGAGTGAGTGTAGTTACGACGTAACATACCTTGTTAGTTCGAATGTTCCCCAGTCTAGATCGATTGATGATGCATGGTCGCCAGAAATGTAGGTATCCAATAATATAGTGGTTGGCTTTAGTCTGTAGACGGCTCTGGTGTTGGAATCGGTTGTCTGTGAGTCTGTCTTGTACCAATCTATAATACACGCTGCCAGTGTAAATGTAAACACAACGATCAGCAATGCAAATGTAATTGTAGTCAACTTATTTGTCTTGAAGTTTGAGAATGCTACCATCTTTTAATATTATTATTATTATTATTACTTAAATGAGTATATATACTATACTAAATTATTATTTGATTGATATCGATATATCGTTTATGATGATGAATGTTTACTTTTTGGTATTCCAATGCGCAGTCTATTATTCATTCATTCATTCATTCATCGTGGTAGGCAGGGTAGTACCTTGATGTCAACAATAACCACAACAGTGTTGATGTGTCATGTGTGTCAAGCATGGAGCGTGTTCATTCTTTCAATCCCCATTCACAGAGAAAGGGTCATACACACCACACCACATTACATTGTTGTTGTTTAGTCAATAAAAAGTTTTGTTCGTTGAATCTTTGCAAATTATTTGAACTGTTTTGGTGAATGTCAGCAGAAATACCCAATCGATTAGTCTTGAATTCCCAAAGAGAGAAAAGATATTTCATATGCAATGAAGTTCGCTTTCAAGATATATGATTTATGTTTGATTATTTATTTTATATATATATATATATACACTTTGATATCGATCGATCAGTGTTTAGTAGAACTCCTCCTTAATGACCAAACCATCCTTCCACTCTTGTAAAGCCCATTGAGTCTTCTTAATGTTGTGCTCTCCATAAGTGAAGTCCATGGACATCTCATAAGCAGTGTTGTTACCATCGACAAGTATCTTTGTGACTATAATATGAAATATATATTAGACGATAGAAGAATGAATGGATAGATTGATTGTTGATTTTAACATACCTTTAGCCTCATGGATCTTGGCATTGTCAACAAAGTTCTTCTCTGACTTGTAGTTGGCCTCCTTTCCAACACGGTTGGTTGAGTCACCCTTCTCATACATCACGACATCGGCATGATAGTACTTCTCAAACACATCAAGGATTCTGTTCTCCTTAATTCCTTTAATGATCTCGTTTAAGTTATCTCTGATTGATGGTGACATTATTTTAATATTATGTAGTATTGATTGATAAATTGATTATTATTTCTTAAGTTTGTATTTGGATATTGATTGTTTGATTGATTGATTTGATGATTGACCAAGGTGACCATTCATCGTTATAAATAATAGTTGGTCATTACCACTAAGGGGATTCCGGAAGGGTCATGGAATTCTTTGGATCAAGCACCTGAGCGTGGTTCGAGATCTGTTTTACAAATTTGACCCAGATGTCCAACTTGTTCTTATTCAGGAAGCTGGACAACTTACTTCTGATACATCCAGGGTTGACCAAACTAACAAACATCTGGCTGGTCTGATGAGAAGGTAACAGTCGGGGGTCAACAACTTAACGATACAGATACTCTGGTCCTTTGACCAACGTGCACCACGCATTTGTGATAAGGGTGTAATGATCAGGTTGTCCTTTAAATGTTATGCTCTAACACAGCCGGCCATTGACATATGTCGACATTGAATCGCTTCCAAACCGAGTTGATGGCATGGGATTGATCAGATCAGATAAAGTTACATTATGATTATTATTATTACGATCGTAAAGGATAAAGTTTATTGTTCATCGTCTGATGGCATTTGGCCAACGTAATCCGAGTCGAACAGTCTCTCCACTTCGCTTGGCTCGAGGAATGCACTTCTCTTGTGCTCCTCGGTGACCTTCTTGGACTGCATGCGCTTGATGTACTTGTTGGCCTTGAGTGTCTTTTGATTCATGCGATTCTCATTGGGCGTGACAAAGTCTGCGTTGTTGTAGAGCACCTGGCCGCCAAAGCCGCCCGAGAAGATCTTGGAGATGGACAGGATCAGACGTGGTCCGATCTCGGTGAGCAGACGCTCCTGCTTCTTGAACTCGTGGTCGCTGATCTGGTAGTTGCGCAACCAGATGCGGCCGTCCTGGTAGAAGAATGAAAACACGTGATCAAAGAATGGCTTGCTCTTTACATGGCCCTTTGGCGTGCTGAATATCTGTGTCAACAACTCCTTTGCCAACAACAAGTGTGGCTGAGCATCAAACGTCGCGTCAAAGTGCAAGAATGGTCTTGATCCCTTCAAACAGTTGCCTGTCATCTGAAGCTCGTCCAATGTATGAACTGGTTTGATCATAATATGTTAGTCACTCATTCATTCATTCGCTCACTCGATCATCAAAGTAAACATACCATTGGATACTCCAAACTTGATTGTTGGACCAAGGGGTGTCTTGGCCATCCAGAGGAAGAGGTCGGTGTGCTTCCTGGTGTCAAAGAGGATGGCGTAGTTGCAGGACTTCATCTCGCACGACTCGTTGATGACGGCGAGTGACTTGCGATCGTCTAGCTTGGACTCCTTCTTGGAGTGTGGGATCAAGTCGAGTACATCCTGCATCAAATGTCTATTCTTTGGACTGATGCCTCTTGTAGACATGACCAATACACGCTTCTTCAAGAATATTGAATCGTCCTCTTTTGCTTGTGGAATCTGTACACTTGATGGCTTCATAGTCGAAGTAGTAGTAGTCGTCGTAGTAGTTGTTGGAGTTGATGTGGCAGGTCTCTGTTTCTTGATGTCGACACCATTTGAAGTGGATGCCTCATGTTCCATTAACTTTCTTTTAAGACTCATTGTTATGTGTATGTATATATTATGTTATATGTATATGTTATATACTTATATTAAGTGAAGATTGAATGAATGATTGTTTGTTAGTGTGATTGAATTAAGAATGAAAAGTACTCGCTCGGCTGACACATCAACACACAATCTTTCGTCTTTTTTGAACACTTTATTTTTTTTCATTGTTTGTGTGATTGAAGGTCCTAAAGGGACTTGTTGATGAAGTGATGATATAATTGAGTGACATTAAACTCATTCATAATACATAATACATCAATTAATATACAATATAATGTCTGTAGGTATTGACAAAGACACATTGGTGATGGCTCATGCTGGACTATGAATACTGACCACTCCCCACCCATCAATCAATCAATCAATCAATCATTCAATCACAATCCAATCCAATACAATTCAATCAATCACTCATGACCTTGGACTCGTCAACCAACCAAACCGACACTCACACTCCCACTGGAACCATCCCACTCGATGAATCAATCAATCAATCACTCACTCAATCAATGAAACACACATGATGACGACGAACTATGCAGAGCCTCAAGAATATAGTACCATTGTTGGATCGCATTCTGATCGAGAAGATCTCAAAGCAGACACAGACTGCAGGTGGAATATTGTTGCCTCAGATGAAGAGCAACTCGAATCAGGCACGCGTGATTGCCGTTGGAACAGGTGCTCATAGACCAGACGGCACATTCGCCGGCACCATCGTGCAGAAGGGTGACACAGTGATCGTTGCACCAACTGCCAGAGCCTACGAAGTGCCCGTCGATAACAAGACCTACTACATTGTTAGCGAGCTCGATATCCTCGGCATTGCCAAGGTCAACGAATAAATTAATGGTACGTGATGCCAAGGTATATATATAGTAACACAAAGAGTCGAGTCGAGTTGAGTCTGGATGGGTAGGATGGTGGAGTTTATGTGTTGTTGTTGCTGCTTTGAGAGGTGTCGTCATACATGCATGCATGCCCTCTCTCTGTCCAGCTCTCGCTTCGTTCATTCATTGTTTACAAAAGTGCACGCTATGCTCGTCTCGCCTTGAGTACACTCAATCATTCAATCAAGTTAAGCAAATGATGCGCCAGTGATGCTATTGTAATATCGATGCGTCCTTCGTCGGTCTGTTTGTTGATTAATTGATGTTTGTGCCAGAGTGTGATGATATATAGATAGGTGATATGGTCAAGTTCAAGATGATGCGCTGACCTCGTAAACCAAAGTGATGTTATCTCCTTTCAGCATGATCTGTCCCAATGGCTTTCTCGTCTTCTTCTTCATTGATATCTCATAAGCCTTGTCCAGTACCAAGTTCATATATTCGTCCAGTCCCTATTATGTGTTATAATGATCAGAGAGTCAGTGTAAGTCTATCCATCACTCCATCGATCAATCCAATCTGTTGTACATGTAACACCTACAATGATAATTCCTTCGATCCTCAGGTCTGTCTGCTCAAAGAGCATAATCTGTACAACTGACTTTGTTTGAAGGAACTTAAAGATCAAGCTCTGTTATTGGAGACAAGGTAGGTAAGTCAGTAAGTCAGAGTCTGTCATGTGATCCAAGTGGTGTGTTCATTATCATTCATGATAACATACGATAGGCTTGAGCATAACAGACTTTTGATGTCTGGTCTCGGCGAATGACATTGTGTATAGTGATCCTGTATGATTCAGTTGAATGATTCAACTGTTGAAACGAATGAATAAGGGTTATGTATGAATATGAAGAGTGAGGTGAATGAATGAATGAACAAAGACTAAGAATGTGAAGTTGAAGTCAGTGTCTTCGCAAACACTCATTCATAAAATTTGATGAATGGAACAATTATTAGTTTGATTGTCAATATTGGTTGAGGACTATGATATCAGAACATATATATATATATTCATAACTAATTCAAACCAATAACAATCTGATTAGGATCTATCCTTTTGTTTGTTATTGAGATGAAAAGAAAAAATTAATTAAAATTATTACATATATATTTATATTAATACTTTAAATAAATGTCATTTATAGTATTTATAATATAATATATATATTCCAAAGATCATTGTGATTTGTAGTTATTGATCCATGATGAAGACTATAGTTGCCCGGGCATTTATTATTTCCAAATTAAATGATCGAGGTTCATCCATGCAGAGTGAGTTTGTGTGAAGTGGTTGAAGTTGATCAAGGTGATCTGCAGAGGTTGACGGAAAGTGGTGAGAGTGGCAAAAGGCCTTTCATTATTATTATTCATTACTCAATCGTCATCATATGAATCTATATTAAACAATCAATCAATATATATATACTCATACATCGACTCAATCTGTCAGACATACACAACGAATCTTAATACAATCAATCAATCAATCATAACAATAATATAATCAATCAATCAAGTGGCAGCACAGCGGCGACTCAGTATCACTCAACACTTTAGCATAACAACAAACTAACTAACTAACAACTAACAACTAACAATAACAATGCCTCTACATAAATGTGTTAATGGTAATAACTTTGATTGATCAGCCCATAACATTACATGACACAAGACACTGACCAATCATATAATAATGATCAAACAGACTTCTTTGGCGATAAGGCTTCACTCAAGACTGGAAAGATCGCAGCATTGTTGGATGGCAATAGGATAGGAATCGAAGCCTCACATTGGGGACTGTTGAAGCTGCATGGCAAAGAGCCATTCCAAATTGCAATGGGCGGTGCTCCATTGACTCTCTACACCTCAATCCAGACAGAGTTGGATAAGTTCAAGTAAGTAGATTGTAGTCATGCGACCTTCAGACGACACGGGAGATCATACTCACTCATTCAACTCATTCATTCGACATACTTGTAGGAAAGCAAACTTACATCCATTGTTCGTCTTCTCAGGACTGTCTATACTAAAGGACAGGAACAATGCATTCATACAACCACAGATCTTAAAGGCACAGAAGCTCAGCGCAGCATGGGAAGCATACTACAAGCAACAGGGCGAGCAAGCTGAGAAGATGTTCTCTGTCGAGGTTAAGCAAGGTTAGTGTGATAATGACATTGATTGATTGATTTATGAAGGACTAACATTTTATCACATGACTGTGCACAACAGACAAATCACTCATCTACCAGTTCATCCCATCACTGGTGTCCTACTTCAAACAGAACAATGTCGAGTGCTTCAAGTCACCGTACATGGCTGCTGGACAGCTGGCACTCTTCTCGGATCCCACCCAGAAGAACTATATCAACGCCGTATGGGGCGGCCTGGAGCTGCTCCTCTTTGGCGTCCATCGTCTAATCGTTGACATCGACTTTGAGGTATGATGAATGAACGAATGAACGAATGAACGAATGAACAGGATGTGAGTACATACTAACATATCGTCCACATGCATGCATGTAGAAAGGAACATTCGATTGGATTGACTTGAAGCACATACTCAAGGAGGACCTCCAGATGACTCACGATCAGTTCGTGGACGCTTGCATTCTGGCCGGCTATGAGTTCTGCAACACCTTCACCGGTCTGACGTCCTCCTTTGGACACAACTTCAACTTCCGTCACGTGTGCGATCTGGTCAAGCAGCACCAGACTGGACTGCAGGTCATCCAGGACTACCAATACTCGTACCAGAACGTCGAGAAGTACATGGAGCAGTTTATGAAGACCAAGTGTCTGATCAGGAACCACCTGGTCTACACTCCATCATGCATTTGCGAGCCACTCTACAAAGACCTCAGCTTCCAAACGTATGTGCTCACTCCATCACTTTGATCACTTTGATCACTCACTAACTCATCCTCCATCCATCATCAGTGACCTCAACACCATCTTTGGACCCAAGCTTCCCAATGATCTCTTCTTCTACATCTCACAAGGAGTCGTCAATCCACAGGTTATCAACAACCTCCTTAGTGGCTTCCTCAATGAGCCATTCCCATCAGTTGATTCAGAGGGTATGTTATGTATCCCGCGTCACTCACTCAATCACTCAATCACTCACTCACTCAATCAACTTCAATCAACGCAATAACAGAGTACAGGAAGATGCTTGAGTATTTGAGGGAGATAAGAACCAACACTCTTGGCCTGCTGTCATCATGCTTCAATGAGGACATTGCCAAGCGTGTGGTCAAGAACATCCGTTGGTACGAACCAAAGGAGGAGGAGATTGCACACACCAAGAAGGTGTCTCATCTGTTTGGAAGACATAGCGCACCTTCCTCCATCTTCACCAGCGCACTTAAGTCGCAGCTGCAGACACTCAAGTCGTCGCCCGCTGGCTCGCCAGCCATCACACTGAACTTTGTCGCCAAGTGCATCCCAGAGAACGTCGTCGGCAGTCTAACCTCCTCTCCATCCACCTCTGATGCTAGCGAACACAATGGCAGCAATGGTCACTCCATCCAACCAGTATGTCTCCCTCCTCTGTGTTATCCAATGAGTGGATCATGATCACTAACCTAATCAATCACACTACCAGATCAAAGACATCAATGAGGCAGCCTTCTATGTATTTTACCAAACGCTGGTGTTGATGGGATATATCCAGGACAACAATCTGACGACCTATGGTCGTCTGTTGGACATGACCAAGAAGTCAGGCTTCCAACAGGAGTTGATCATCACAATCGAGTTGATAAGAGCACAATGCTTGACATCTGAGAAGCTCACATTCCTTCCAAAGCCAACCTTTGGTATGTTGCCTGTCGTCCATCACAATCATTCAATCACACTAACTTACTTAATCAATCAATCAATCAACAGAGGGACCACCAACCAACATATCAGCATTCCTGTCGAGACTGCTCAGTATATTGCCTTGCACAATGGATGTAAGTTGGTTCATTGTCCATCATAATCATGCTCGCTCACTCACTCAATCAATCACATAATGTACACAATAGAATAATCCATGGGAGGGACCAATCGACCATGACTTGATGGCATTCCATGAGATCACAAGGACACTCTACAAGTCTGTTAGGAACTTGTTGGAGATATCATCACTGTCCAACTTCCTCACGCACAAGATCCAGCTGGACCCAGCTGAATACTTTAACTTTGCCGCGGGCCATTTGCCATTCTTTGTGCAGCCCAACGCCAGCATGGGACTGTTGGTCAAGGGCATGATCCTGGAGGAGATGTCCATCGACCAGCTCGAATCCGTGTTCCCCAACTGCACCAGCATCGAGAAGGACTTGCAGAGGGCGACCGAGTTCCTCGACGAGGTGATGCAGGTGGCCACCGTGCTCCTGAGCGAAGGCCTCATCACACAGCAGCTCTACGACAACTTTGTCGAATCAGACTCCACCTGGAAGCGAGTGAGACAGATCCAGAAAGAGGCTGCTGCTGAGGACAACTAAGTTGCGTTCGCGCACACATGGAAAGGAAAGGAAAGGATTGGTATGATGTAATGGATGGGCATCAGTCAAGTGATTGAATGAATGAGTGACATGTGTCTACACATATGAATGTCATTCACCTATCATTGGCCTAACTACGAGTATCCTATTCATGGATCATCCATTCCAAGTCCACCCATTCGACCTCTTGTGGAACACTACACTACACTGCCCTGGCCTAAACTCACTAACTCACTCATTCAACCTCGCGACAGACTACAACAAACTTACCCAGTAACAAATAACTCATGACAACAACATGTACATGGCAACCAACCAACCAACCAAACCAACCCTTGCACAATCAACTCGAACCCAACAACACAACAATCAACTTATCAACGACCAACTCAATCATCCAAACACAACATCAACAACTAGACCAGAGTGTTCTAATTAAAACATCCGCGGATACCTTCCTTCTCTCTTCCAACTTTAGATCGTTTGAATAATTGATTGGGAATCACTCATCTCAGCGAAGAGTCACATGGATCCAGAGCAATCGATGAGAATGACGAATGTCAATCCACGATGGATATCCAGAACGTTATCACAATCGTGTTGTTTGGAGTGTCCACAAACCAAACCAACCCCAAGGTGAGATGGCCAACCAACCAACCAAACAACCACTCGTCTTTATCGCATGGATACAAGTATAACTGCTGCCTGGCCATCAGTAGCAGTGGCAGTAGCAGGCAAAGGGGTGGTGGATTTACACCATGTACAGGTCAGCGGGCTCGTGTCGTATGAGTCGCCAACCATTCAACTCGAGTGAAGTCGACCAGTGTAACCTCCATACTTAGCAGTTTTCGCGTCGCACCTCATCCGGGTGATTTAAGTCTCCGTCGCCTCCCTTGCCCATGACTTCTGCGGGCTGAATCACTCTTTCTCTGGCACTAGATCCCTTGGTCTACTCGCCAGACCCCTTGCCCCATTCCACAACACACTCACGTCCAAACGGATGAGTTCGCACTTTGTCTATGATGGCAAGGTGGACCAACTCACCAATCACACACCCCTAGTGGTATGACATGAACAACCAATCATACCGGACGCCCGATCCTAAATTGATCAGGTGATTGATTTGATTTGAGTCGGTGTGGTGAAGGTGGTGTGAATGTGTGTGTGATTGTTTCAATCAATCCTGGAACTTGATCAATCACACACAAGCCAAGCCAAGCCCAAACACACACTCACTCATAGTGAACACAACAAATAACCTTGACCTTATTACACATAATTACTTTCAAATGTGCCCACCCAATGATGAAGAGATAAAGATGTGTTAGATCGCCGGTAACGCCTCAGGGGCAATCACAACGAAGCAATCACCTTGGTTCTCGTAACATCTGGGGGGTCTGTTGGTGTGAGGTTGCAGACCACACCAAGGCGTTGGAAGTTGGATGGATGGTGCAATCAGACAGCACATGATGCACGATCATGGCCATCACCGACCTATGTCGTAGTTGTTACAAGTACTTGTCGTTCATGATCATCTCAGCAGCACACTCACTCACTCAACTCAGTGCACAAGGTATCTTTTAAAATATCAACAGTGGCGTTAGACTTGCACCTTCTCTCTCTCTGGCTTGACTCTGAACAAGCTGAGCTGTCCTCTGTGCCATGCAGCAAGGGAAACACCTCATCCTCTTCCTCCTCCTGCTCCACTTTCTGGAAAGCATGACAATAAAAGAGGTAACTTGGATTGATGTCTCTTCAATTCATCGTCTATTTGTTGTTGTTTGTTGGTTGTTGCTAACTTTAAACAGATACACACACCAACCATTCCATTCCATTCCTATTGTACTATACTTGTACTATTCTCTATTGTAACGTAATGTATATATTGTTACCCATCACAAGCGCATTTATCTCATTCCACACCCAACACACTCACTCACACTCACTCAATCAATCAATCAATCAAACTATCACAATCAATCACACACACACACACGTGTATAACTACTCTACTCTTTGGAGTCAAGTCTACTACTCTTTTTCTCCTACTTCCCAACCAAGGTCGATTGTTTGATTTGGATGGCGTAGCACCGAACCATTGGCATCAACGCCATGCCCTTCACAACACTTTCAAACAATAACATCACCATCAACCATACTCCAACGCCTCATTTTGTTCAATGTTGTAATAACAATCAATCAATCACGTGACCGACCAACTCAATCAATCAATTGATCACGTGACCGACTATAACCATTACTACAAATACTCTCTCTCCTACAAGGAATACATCTTGATATTTATTAATAATATAACCTTTACCAACCAACCTTCACACAGTCAATCAATCAAAGTTAATCATCCATGCAACCTAGGGGCATTCAATTGTTTGCCCTCATATTTATGGGACTGCTGGCGTCGACATGCCATGCAGCTTTCTACGACTATATCGTGGTGGGTGCCGGTTCTGCCGGTAGTATAGTGGCCACCAGACTCGCTCAAAATGGAAGCACAGTGCTTGTGATCGATGGAGGCGAAGGTTCCACTGTTGAGGTTGGTGGCAAAGATGTTGTCGGTACCCAAGGAACACTAAGTCCATCAAATACATACACCCCTGTTGTAAGTCCAACCCTCGACCTTCGACCATCAACCCTTGACCCTCGACCCTAACCCCCACACCCCACGGAACTATTCCAATCAATCAATCAATCAAACAATTAGTCAACATTCACAAAGTATGATGTACCATTATACTGGTCAGCTGCTTATATTACTGGATTGAAGTGGGATATCACTGGCGCCAGCGTGGCCAAAGTCACTGGAGGCTGTGGTATGCACAATGGAATGGTGTTCCAACGTGGACTCGAGTCCGACTATAACAACTGGGGCGTCACTGGATGGAATTGGAGCAGCATGTTCCCTTACTTCCTCAAGATCGAGACCATCCTCGACCCATCGCTATCCACATCAACCCTGCACGGCCACAGCGGCCCAATCAACGTCGGCACCCATCCATTCGACCAGGAGGGTAACGACTTTATTAGCTCATGCTCGGCAGCCGGCTTGCCATTCAACCCCGACTTCCAGAACAACACTCGCGATGGCTGTGGCTACTTCCAGTTCAACATTGACCCAACTGGAATCCGTTCGTCGCCCTTCCACAAGTACCTCAAGCCCGCGTTGGTCACCTACAGCAGCACCCTCAAGTTGCTCACCCAGGTCACCGTGCTCAAGGTCAACTTTATCAAGGCATGTACAAGCTGCATCCCTAACGCCGCAAGTGTTACCGTGTCATTCAATGGCAACGGCACCGTGTCAACTATCACCTGCAACAAGGAGATCATCCTGTCTGCCGGCGCACTCAACACACCAAAGATCTTGCTCAACTCTGGTATTGGTAATGCTACATACCTCGCTACCTACTCGAGCGTGATCCCTACTGTATACTCCAACTTGCCAGGCGTGGGCAGGAACCTGCAGAACCACTTCCTGGCATTCACCGTGTGGTCCTACAATGCCACGTCCAACCGTCCAACCTTCTACGACCTCTTCACTCAGAGCCTCTTCTTTGAGACTTCTGGCGCCGGCATCCTCGGCACCCCAGGTTTCTCAGTCGGCGCTTGGCTGCGTCCCAACGCCACAGCAGTTGGCGTGTCAGAGAATGTGATGCTGATTTTGCCAGGCGTCCTTGGAACCACCACCCCTTTCCAGGCACTCTCGATTGGTGTGTCCATCTCGCGTCCCGCACCAAACAATCACTTCATTCAGCTCAACGCCGACCAGAGTGGCACCGCCAACGCCTTCTACCTGCGCTCTCCCGACCTCCACTTTACCCTCCTCAACAAGCAGGCCGACGTCGACACTCTAGTTCGCGGTATCCAAGAATCACGTCGTATCATGTCTTTCGCGCCAATGAATGGTCGTGCCGCACCAGTCATCCCCGCCCCCGACCAGACTACCGCCGAGCTGGCAACCTGGGTGCAGGCCAACGCCATCGCCCACGACCATTGGTGCTGCACAGCCAAGATGTCCAGCACACCAAGTGACACGATGGCCGTTGTCGACAACCATCTTCGTGTGCTCGGTGTCAAGAAGCTTCGTGTGATCGACGCCTCTGTCATGCCAACCATTGTCGACTCCCTGGTGCATGCCACTGTCATGGCCATTGCCGAGGCTGGCGCCGACTATGTCATCGCTGACAACATGCCACCACCCAGCACCACTGGCACCACCACCACTACCGGTGGCGGCGGTGGCGGCGGAAGTGGCGGCCTTCTCTCTGGCATCCTCACAGCCATCCTCACTGGTTAATTCTTCCTTCTCCTCCCTCCCTCTTCATCATTCATCCATCCATCTATCCATCCATCCATCTTTTCAAACTTTACCTTGACCCTCTTGGCCCTTAGCCCCCTGTGACCCAATCAATCAATATTTATAAAGTATCGACTATTTATGGTGTGTCGTGTATTACCTCCCCTTTCCATGATTCATGGAACAACCTATATATCCCAATGCATCTCCACAGTGATGAATTATTCTTGTTTTAATTGATTGATTGATTGATAGATGATGACACTTTGTTTGAAGGCCCTTGTCTGGGAACCTTCTACCACTTTGATCTTCAAGTCTAAGGTCGACAACACAACACAACACAGATGTATATATTTAGATGACAATGACTGATCAGATATTTGTGATAATCTCTCATTTAAGCATCATGTCATATTTACCCAGCTCAAAACACTTCGTCGGGTTGGGGTCTTGTGAAAAGTGGGAAGACTGATCAGTGTGCCATCCATCTATATTGGGGTTAGAATGATTCCACATGGATGGATGGAACGCGGATAACTTTTGGTATTGCGTATCCTGGGGGAGGGGTTGTGGATGGTTGGGGTAGGTCGGTGGGTCGGTGGGGAACGATGTTGCAGTGTGTGTTACTGTGTTACCGAGACTTACATCACTACCATCATCCTAACGTCATATTAAATGACATCACTCTGTCAGAAACATTGATCGAAAGACAGAGAGTATTGAAAAGTCAAGTATTTGACAAGTAATCGATCAAATCAATCAATCAATCAAGTTAATCAATCAATCAGATATATATAAATACCATCATCAATCAATTAATTATACTTCATAATACATCATACTAAATCAACTATTATGGATAATAATAGTGTTGACTTACATATGATGGAAGAAGGCACTTCATCATCGGTGGACCGCCAACTGTCGCCCATGGGTGCTGCCCAGCATACACACACTGGTGTACAGTTGAGTTTTAGGGACATTGTCTATAAGGTACCAAACAAGAGATATATGGACCAACATAGTATGGCACATCGTTTGGGTTTCAAAAAGGTGTCCAAAGACGAGAAGGAGACAGAGAAGGAGATAACAATCTTGCATGGTGTCAGTGGTGTGATTGAGCGTGGCGAGTTGGTCGCACTGATGGGTCCGTCCGGCTCGGGAAAGTCCACCCTCCTGGACATCCTGGCCAAACGCAAGAACACTGGTCATATCAATGGCCAGCTGCTGGTCAATGGCCGCGAGATTGGTGATGCCTACAAGAACTACTGCTCCTACGTCACCCAGGAGGACATCCTCACGCCCACCTCCACCGTCGAGGAAACGCTCAAGTTCCATGCCGACCTGCGTCTGTCCGACCGCACCGAAGCCGAGAAGATGACCGTCATTCACCGTGTGATGGAAGAGGTCGGCCTGGCACACAAGGGCAATGCAAAGATCGGAGGAGTGCTGCCTGGTGGCATCAATGTGCGTGGACTGTCTGGTGGCGAGAAGAGACGTGTTTCCATCGGTTGTGGTCTGGTCACTGATCCAGCACTCATATTCTTGGATGAGCCAACCAGTGGTCTGGACTCGGTCAACGCTCTGGTTGTGATGAAGACATTGCTGAGTCTAACACGCAAGGGTGTCACAGTCATTGTGTCGATACATCAGCCACGTCCCGAGATCTGGCAACTGTTCAACAAGGTGATGGTGTTGGTCAAGGGCAGGATGATATATAGTGGAGCTGACCTACTAGGCTACTTTGATACCCTGGGCTATCCAACGCCACCCTATGTCAACCCCGCCGACTTCTGTCTGGATGCCGCCGTCGAGATTGGCGACTCCTCACGCTACCAAGAGATATGTGACAAGTGGACTGACAAATGGGAGTCGGAACTCATTGGCAGTACCAATCCATCGGTTGGTGAAGTAAAGACAGGCGTAAGTATCCATCAATCAATCACACCCAATCACTTGATCACATTACTCACTGGATCGATCACATGTTAGATTGTACCTGGATTATGTTATCAATATAGGGTATTGATTAAGAGAGCATTCCGTGACTTTATTAGGAACCCTGGTAACTTTGCTACTAGGACCATCACACCAATCATTATGGCCCTATTGTTTGGCGCATGCTTTGCTGGCCTGGGCAACTCACAAGAGGACATCCAAAAGATCATTGGTGTAATATACTTCATGATCAATGGCCTCAACCTAACTCCATTCGTATCTATTTCACTTTGTAAGTTATTCCATAATCATTTTGATCGATCAAAATGATCATCCAACTAACACCATGATTGGAATGATTCCCCCCCCC